ATTAAATGAAAATGCCTATAACATTTGTAGATTTCTTTCTATTGTCTATAACAATTAAGAATCAAGTTAATCAAACTAAGAATAAGGTTTAACAACAAAAGTTTAGTTTTGATCTCATGAGATAATATGATGGATGTTTTTCAAATATTTAAGTAAGGGGTTTTAGTTTTCAAGTTAAAAAGCCAATTGGTTTTGACCTTATTAAATGAAAATGCCTATAACATTTGTAGATTTCTTTCTATTGTCTATAACAATTAAGAATCAAGTTAATCAAACTAAGAATAAGGTTTAACAACAAAAGTTTAGTTTTGATCTCATGAGATAATATGATGGATGTTTTTCAAATATTTAAGTAAGGGGTTTTAGTTTTCAAGTTAAAAAGCCAATTGGTTTTGACCTTGATATTACTAGAGAAACTAGTTTAGGGTATAAATAATGGAGAAATCGGGTTTTTCTTTGAGCCACATGTGTCCATAGTGTGTCGGACACAGATACAACACCCAAAACGCTACGTCCGTATTACCTAGGTGGCATAACATGCTCCTGTACCCGCCCACTGAACTGGAACAAACCGGGTTCCATGCACTATTGGTTTCACTAAATCTCTCTGAACATTGGGGTGTCTTACATAGCCCCCTTCCCCCACCCAAACTTAAAACGAGTCTCGACGGACTCCTGGACTCCCTACTTGTAAATATCAAATAAGTAAAATATTCTCGAGAGAAAAAATGACCATCCGTCATTTGATATCTATAGGCGACAGACCTCACCTTCCGCCCCCCCCTCCCCCCAAAGAAAAAGGGCTTTTTTCCTTGCAAGAACATTTTTTTGTTATTTCCTATTTACACGTAGGGGAACTGTTGGGAAAATGCTGAAAGTTTAGGGGGATTTTCTGCGGGATTTGATGGAATAAACAGAGGTTGGGTGGTTTTGGAAAGTTACCGTTGACCCTTATTATTATCTTGGAATTGATTTCCTTGTAGCACCAACACATTGACATATTTAAGAACCACTAATCTGTTTAAATGATTCATTTTGCAGACCACAGTTGTATTTATGTCCTATAAACATTTGAATGGTTTATTTTCAGAAATGCTTTAGCATTTTGTTCTCTGGAGAAGCAACAAGCTCACAGTGTCAAGAATTCATGATAAAGAAGAGAAACAAGTCCCATAAAGAAAGTCAGTTAGTATGATTGACTATGACATGACCCTATTCTGTTTTCGGCATATCATTCTTTAAAGAAAGTCAGTTAGTATGATTGACTATGATAAAGAAGAGAAACAAGTCCCATATCTTTCTTTTCTTTCTTTGGTATCCCAAGCGCTATTCTGTTTGCGGCATGGTTGCAGAAACCTGTCACAGAGATCTTTTCTATGCTATAAAATCTATGAAGGTAAACATGACATGACCCTACACTGACTGAAGTGGAGATGGTGATATGACACGATACCTAAATTTATGCTTCAGTACTTCTCTTTGACTTTTGCCACTTCTCTTTCTAATGGAAATTATCTATTGAAGATTCTTTCCATCTCTTTAGTTTCTGTTATGACCGTAACCGTCAAAGAACCTTTATATGCAAGTATAGCTATGACAACAACCACCACCATTACCATGAGCTTTTAACAAATCTATGGGCCACTACATGAATTCTTTTCTCGATCCCATCTGTTAAGGAGATCCTTTCTTAAAATTAGCAACTATGTTATCCTTTTTTACTGCCCTAATCCATGGTCTGCTCCTCTGCCCTACACAGTTCAAGTGCCATCTTATAGCTCCTAATTTGTCTTAGTGCACATGTCAATACTATTACCATCTCAGTTACTTCTTCCTCATTTATCCGTAACTGAAGGTACTTCTAATCTGCACATCTTATAATCTAATCTTCGTCATATTTGCACAACCTTTTCTAAAAGCCCATTCCCTAGATATCTTTTTTCCCCTTAATTTCACAACATTTTGGCTCATAAAGCTTGGCTGATCATTAATACTTCTCATGAAAGCTTTCCTTCTTGTGAGTTTTCTCTATATTTATGTACTATTCCAAAAGCCAAAAGTATCGATCACTTTAACCATCCTTCTTCATTAACATCATACTCAAATCACATCATGGGAACCAACTTATTCTAAGAAGCAACTTATTCTAAGTTATTCCACAGTAATCATTCTTCATGGCATCTGGATGGAAAAGGATATCCTTCACAGGTATCAAAGCTGGGTTGGTTAAAATATAGAAGTGCTCCTGGAGAACCTGATGATGAAGGATACATGACTTATTTTATTTCTACGTGTAAAATCCATTCTTAGATTGTCTACAACTCTGCATTTAAATATCTTGGCTTAGCCTGGCTAAAAGACATTGGAGAGTGCACGTAGCATCAGTATGACATGTTATGAACATCATAAAATGCAATTCTATTCTATGAATGTAAATTTGTTTTGTTGCCTGTGCCTCATGATGCAGTCTGATTATCAGGCCTTAACTGGATCATATACCACTACACAAGCAATACAATTTTTTTAAATGCTGTATCCATAAAAAAGAATGCTGACTAGATTTAGGAGAAGGTTTCTAAAACTATTGTAAAACTTAAATAGTTCACATCTAGTTTTTAATGACTAAGTCAAGATCAAGTTAGCAGAACAGGATTGAAAAGAAATAGGAAACGTCACTACATAATCAAAGTAAAAAAAGAAAACATATAAAAAGAAAAATATAATGGAAAACATAACAAATTGTGTAGCCAGTAAATTCTGTTCAAACTGGTTTACTTCCGGTAATTCCAATGAACTCTATATATCTTCTATATATCTGTCACGATTTATAATGTGGTCACCTACTTTACATTTATACATATCCATAATTATATAATATTAACAACTGATACATTTTCTATTTCAATTTTTGTTTATTATAGTTTGCGTGATGCTAAATGGTATCATGTCAAACATTTATGACTCAATCATAACTAAAGATAAAAAGTATTCACTAAAAATGATATTAATAAAGATGATGTTAAAAAATTATTTTTCTTAATGAATGTAACAAATTTACATTGCATTTAAAATAGATTTAAAAAGATTTGATCAACAAAACACAGTTTTACTCATTTCAAAAAAACACAGATTTGCTCATTTTTCTTTTTGAAGAAATAATTTTAGAGTTAAGAGGCATCTATTCTTTTTTAGAAAAAGAAAAACTTGGCGACAATAAAAAAATTTACATCTTGTCAATCAACATTTAAAAAGTTTCAGTAAGTCACAAATGTCAAATAAAGTATCAACTAGTGACCAAGTGAGCTCAGTTTAGATGATAATGATGTTACCACATCATTCTCTTGTAGAAGGTTGTGAGTTTGAAGATGCTTGGACTCGAGTCCATGATGCTTGAAGGCCACACATCATGTTCTGCATGTAGATTCTTTGTCATGTTAGCGCATGGTGGCATAACAAGAGTTCTTTCTACCTTGTGGAAATCCATTCTAGGGGTCTCTTCTTTTGCACTTAACATGAGTTTCTATGAAAGCCTACTAGCCTTTCTCACTTCAAAAATCTATAGAGCAATGGACTAATTTTCTTTTGTGCTTACCTTTTCAATTAATTTGGTATCTTGGCATTCCTTAATTTTTTTTAACATTGCATTCTAGTCAAGCCCATTAGACTTTGTCCCTGAAGATTTTTACCCTTTAGTGTTTGGAGTCTTTAATGATATATATTCATGGCCATTGTTTTGTTGTTTCAAATATGTGGTGTTTGTCTTTATTGCTGTTTGTTCTTGTTAGTCGTTTCCTGTCAATGTGTCTGCACTATTGACTATTCCCTTTGAGCCTTTGACCCTATGTTTCTGCTGTTTCCTTAAATGAGCGTGTTTCTGTGTTTTTATCAGGGAGGTATCACTAACAAGAGTTCTTGATTCCGAATCGAATACTGTCATTATTATTTGGTCTTACTAAGATTTGGGTCTCTCAAATTTCAGGTAATTGCAGATCGCAGATGGAGAGAAGTAACTGCTGCTTTCAATTTCCCATCCACAGCCACAAATGCATCATTTGTTTTGCGAAAGTACTACATGTCCTTACTGCATCACTATGAGAAGTTATATTTCTTTGGATCATTGGGATGGAGCTCACCTACAACTGGTTTGTACTTGCTGCAGCCATAACCTCTTTCTTTTGTTTAGTTGTCGTCATACTATTTACTTTGCGTATTTGGTTGTACTGTCAGCTACTTCAGTGCCAGCTGAGAGATCGGCTGAGGCAATCTTGCAACATTCTGCAAAATCTATTAGTGCTCGAAAACGAAGAATCAATGGAGAGCTTACACCTCCAGGTTTGTTGTCTCCTTACTATCAGAACTTGAATATTCTTATCTGCATCTATATCTTGTTGTCTTGAAAGGGTTAATTGCGGATAGGCCATCTGGACTATTACCCAATTGCGGATATACCCCTGTAGTTCTGTTGTTGCAGATAGACTGATGCGGGACGATGGGAATTTTTAGGGTTTTATGTAAGGAAATATGAGAAACAACAAAGATTTGGGGAAAACTAGGGTTTGGAAAATTAACAAGATATGACCACAAATCGCAACTCGGGCCTTGGCTTCACCACCATTAACTCAATCTTAGAGATCAAATCAATTACTCAAAGTCTCACAAATGAAACAAAATTTTCTTCAAATATTCATTGCTTTATTTCATAGAATTGACCTCTTTAAATAGGCCTTTAACAATTACAAGTTCACTCTCATATCCGATGTGGGACTAAAATTTATTGAGTAAATACAATAAAGAGAATAAAAGTAACACTAGCTAGACTCTAAGCCTTCTCAAAATCAAAACCAAATATAAGCTAAAGCAACACGACGACGACAGTAAAAGCATGTGTGAAGTGGAGGCTGTGCGATGTCCTCATCAATTCCCCCGGGGTGGGAAGAACTCAACCCCGTCGAGTTAGGCTCCAACTGACCTTCATAATACTCCAATAGATCTGGAGCCAGGTGTTGCAGGTCCTCACGAGTAATCTATGTATTTTCAGATTGAGGACGACATTTCCAACGTACTAGATATCGTCTGCAACTACCATCTCTGGTGGAGATGATTTGGTCATCTCGAATGCTATCAATCTGTTCAGCCGTAAATGGGACAAAAGTAGTAGGCAGTAGTGGTAATAGGGGTCCCTCAAGGAAAAAATCAGGGGTAGGCTCATCAAGATCCACAAGTTGATTGTCAGGGTTAAAAGGAGGACCTTTATAAGCCACCAAATCCGCAATATTAAATGTCGAACTAATTCCGAAATCTGGAGGTAAATCGATTACATAAGTATTTGAGTTAATTTTCTTGATAATCTTAAAAGGCTCAGCACTACGAGCATGTAATTTCTTGATGGCTCCAGGTGGAAACCGTTCTGGATGAATCCGGATCATTACATAATCAACTTCGTTAAACTCAAAATATCTTCTATGTAAATCAGCATGAGACTTATATTGTTCATTGCTTTCTTCAATTTTCTTATTGATTTCTTGATGTAAATCATGAATGTGTGATGCAAATGCAACTGCTAACTCGGACACCCTAGGATGATGCGACATGGGAATAAGGTCTATATGCTTTCTAGGCTTGTAACCATGCACAACTTCAAATGGACTCATACCTACTGATTTATTGACTAAGCTATTGTATGCAAACTCTGCAGTGGGTAACAAAAGATCCCAATTTCCTAAATTCTCACTAACCAAACAACGCAAAAGATTGCCTAAACTCCTATTAACTACCTCGGTTTGACCATCAGTTTGGGGATGAAAAGCAGACGCGCAAAAGATTGCCTAAACTCCTATTAACTACCTCGGTTTGACCATCAGTTTGGGGATGAAAAGCAGACGAATACTGAAGTTTAGTCCTACCTCGGTTTGACCATCAGTTTGGGGATGAAAAGCAGACGAATACTGAAGTTTAGTCCCCATCTTGTGTCATAGAGTTTTCCAAAAATAGTTCACAAATTTCACATCCCTGTCAGATACAATGGTTTTGGGCAAATTATGTAATTTGACCACACCATCAAAATAAATCCGAGCAATTTTGGAAGCATCGGACGTTTTGTTGCACGGTAAGAAATGAGCCATCTTTGAAAAGCGATCCATAACTATAAAAATGGAATCATGTTTTCTGATAGTCTTAGGAAGTCCCAACACAAAATCCATACTCACATCCTGCCAGGGACGATCTGGAATAGGGAGGGGTGTGTACAGGCTAATATTTTGTTTACGTTGCTTAGCTAATTGGCAAGTGCGACACTGTCCTATTAACTTCGCGACATCTCTTTTAAGGCTTGGCCAGTAAAATAAAGTTTCTACAGCCTCTATAGTCTTTTCACGATCAAAATGATCAGCAAGACCTCCTGCATGCAATTACCAAACAAGATAATCTCTCAAAGGAGTACGGGGAATGCATAACTTACCAAATCGAAATAAATAGTCATCTTGGAGCAGAAAACCATCTATCTCGGGAGTCGCTCCCTTTAAAGAAACAAAAATCTCTCCAAAGTAGGGACATGATACATACTCCCCTTTGATTCTTTCGAAACCCACTACCTCTGCACTCATTCGGTTTAGAAGACAAGTTCGGCGACTGAGTGCATCAACCATCTTGTTCTCAACTCCAGCCATTTGTTTAAGGGTATACATATAGTCTTGTAGAAATTCAACCCATCGAGCACGTCTGACATTGAGTTTCTTTTGAGAGTTAAGATACCGAAGGGCTTCATGGTCCAAAAATAAATAACAAATTCTTGCGGTAAAAGATAATGTCGCCAATGGTGAAATGATTGCACAACCGCATAGAACTCCTTACCGTAAGTAGAGTAGTTCAGTTTAGCACCACTAAGTTTTTCACTAAACTAGACGATGGGGTGCTTCTCCTGGCTCAATACTCCACCTATATTAATACTCGAGGCGTCACACGTGACCTCAAACATCTTAGAGAATTCAGGAAGTCTCATAACAGGTGCGTCGGTCATCCTCTGCTTGATTTCTTTGAAAGCCGTAGCAGCTTCTTCGGACCATTGAAATTCCTCTCTTTTCAGGCAATCTATAATTGAGGTCATAATAGCACTAAACTCCTTGATAAATCGCCTGTAGAAAGTTACGAGCCCATGAAAACTTCTTACATCGCGGATACTTTGGGGCTCGGGCCCCTCTACAATTGCCTAAACCTTTTGAGGATCGGCAGAAACTCTTTGAGAAGACACAACAAATCCTAAAAATATAACTTGGTTAGTCAAGAAAATACATTTATTGGGATTTGCAAATAGTTTCTCTTTCCTCAAAGTGAGACAGACTTGATTGAGAAGATCAATATGATGTTCCAGCGACTTACTATAAATTAAGATATCATCAAATTATACGACCACAAATTTTCCCATAAAAGGTCGCAGTACCTGAGTCATAACTCGCATGAAGGTGCTGGGAGCATTTGTTAACCCAAAAAGCATAACCATGTACTCGTATAGACCATCTTTCGTCTTGAAAGCTGTCTTCCACTCATCCCCTGGACGAATCCTAATTTGAGGGTAGCCACTTTTCAAATCAATTTTGAAAAATATGGTGGCGCCAGACATTATATCTAACATATCATCCAGTTTGGAAATAGGAAACCGATATTTCACGGTGATTTTGTTGATTGCTCGACTATCAACACACATTCTCTATGAGCCGTCTTTCTTAGGGGTTAGTAATGTCGGCACAGCGCACGGACTCAAGCTCTCTTTAATGAACCCCTTAGTCAACAGTTCTTCAACCTGCCTTTTGAGTTCGGCATGTTCGGTTGGATTCATTTTGTAATGAGGCAAGTTGGGAAGATTAGATCCTGGAACAAAATCTAGTAGGCCGGTGTTGAGGTGTCACATGCATGTCGCGTAGGAAATCGACAAGCGCAGCTAGGGGGTGTAGGAGAGGAGTATATTGGTGAGTCGGGTGTGCTTCTGGAGAGAGACAAGTCGTGCAACAAAGTTTCGTTCATTATATTAGAAGAGGTTATGGGCGAGAAGTAGAATAGGGAGGGAGAGGAGGGGCAGATCCTCTTTCTATCATGGACGAATGAATGGGTGTTTATCGTCTATAGATAGTGACATCTTAATCATATATATAGGGTCTACGTAAAATGATGTGCCCAACATCCATGGTAACAATGTCACACCAAATTTTGTCCGAATAAGTAGTAAATTGGATCGGGACAAGACATCATTCTTTAACCTCAATGGACGTAATATTTACCCAAGATCCTTTATATTGTTGAGGATGGGGAACATGTTTCAATCCAAGTACAGTCACTATGTTGGAGACGACGGCGTTAACACAACTCCCACTGTTAATTATGACTCGACAGTTTTTGTCATTGATCTTTGTGGTTGTGTGAAAAATTATAGTTTTACGCTAGTCATCACTATCCATAGGTTGAGCTAATGTGCACCTCATCATAGACCCTTTACGTGAAAATTTTTAACATTTCTACCCTCAGAGAAAGGATTTTTTTTTTTGAGTAGACCTCTTGAGGGTAATAGAGTTAAAAAAAAATCCACTTATGGTCTATCTGACCATTTGCAATTAGGAGATAGCACAAGGGGATCTATCCTCAACAATAGCACTTAGGGGGTTGGTTATTGGGCGATAGTACAGGTCGTCAATTAACCCCTCTTAAAGTTAAGCTTAGCCTGACATTTAACATTCAATGGGGATGTACAATGATACAAATAAATCAATCCTAATATATTCATTACTTTTTCTTTGACAAATATGAATATTTATAATTGACTAAATATGGATACGTGTCTGCATAATGATAAGCTACTCGATGCGTCTGAATAGATATTTAGATATTTGATTGCAACTTTGCCATATAGTCAATTTCATTTAGTAATATAATATAATAATATAAAGAGTTTTTTATTTATGAAAATCACCTTTAAAATAGGATGAATCGATAGAAAACACCTTTGAATTTTATTTTATAAATAAGCAACCTTATAAGTGGCTTTAGCTTTTGATCAACACTTCTTGTCAATTTCTGCTCAAGTAATATCCAAACTATCCTCATTGATTGCACGTGTCTAACTCGTGTTTCCCAACTACACATGTAATTAATGAGGATATTTTGGATAACAAAGGTACTAAATTAGCAAAATTTGACGAAAAGTCGTAGATTGAAAACTAAACCCACTTATAAGGTGTTTTACGTATAAAAAACTTCAAATGTGGTTTTTATCGATTCGACCTATTTTAAAGGCGCTTTCATGAAAAAAAAAATCTAATATAAAATAACTTTTTCTTTGGGGTGTG